CCCTTCAGACCGCGTTGTCCAAAAAAAAGGTGGGTTTTTGGGTGAAAGTTGGTGGGGAGGTGAACAGCCAAATGTATACATGGTGTGTTGTTGGCATCCAAACGTCAAAAATAACAAAGAAAACACGTATTTGTTTTTGTCCGTCAGTGTTTGTTTTCTTTTGCTCCTTTTTTTTTCATTCCATAGATTTCATGTTTGCAACATGTTGCAACCAGTGAAGGATTCCATTTTGGGGCATGATGTTTGATTGCGGAGATTTTGCACTGAGAAGATCTCATCCGGCAGTCATGACTCGGGTGGTTCGAAGAACCAGGGGGGCCTTGTGAAGATGACGTCATAGACCTTGTAACGGCCTGTGATCTCAAATCGATTCCTTTGGATAATTTGGTAAAAACTTGGTCATTTGTAATCAGGGAGGAGGAAGAGCACGTTCCGTACCGGGCGGCGGCGGCTGAGTTCCTCAGGAGGAGGTGTGCAAGGATGAGTGGTCCGCATATTGCTGGGACTCTTGGTATGGAAATGGCGAGGAGTCGAGGAGAAGCACCAGTTACTGAAGAGTGACCAGTTACATATAACCCATGTATGCCAGCCACTTCATTATGGAACACAAAGGGGGGAATGAATACACCAGTGAAGTTGCATGATAACTCTTATTCTTCCCTTTCTTTAAGGTATAGGCATAGGCTAGGTGTGTATATAGTATACACGACCAGTGTTTAACCCCGCATCCCACATCCACTTCGAGTGCTGTAGTTTATCCATTCTTAGGAGATCCTCAGCTCCCCTTTAATCGACCACATGTCCAGTCCTGAGGACAAGGCTTGGGGGAATTGCCCTCTCTTCTGCGGGCACGATGAGATACTCAGCCGCAAAGAGATCTTTTGGCTCGGGAAAGCTGCTTCGAAAAGCCGCCCCAAGTGTTCGAACAGCCGCTCCAAGCTATGGTGGTTCTTAGTCCAAGCAAGTGAGTGGATGTGACACTGGCACCACCAAGCCCACGTTCAAGAACCACCTTGAGCCCTTATCTTGCTGCATGCAGTTGATTCATGTTTGACAATACTCCCTCCAAAAGCTTAATATGATTGTCTGCATTTTCCCACCTGGTTCGAAGGGGTACGGGGCACCCAGTTCATGACTTTCACCATCAGTTTCATATTTTTTGTGCGTTTCTCCAACTGAGGATCTATTGCTATTCCTACAGCTACGATTCCACAGGCATCGTGGGACCTGCGACGAAAGCCGCGCCACGCCCATTTTTGGTTGAGGGATGCCAAAGGCTTGGAAACACCCCAAGAACGGGCGGAGCCCAACGCGGCTTGTTGGAAGTGAGTGTCACTTCCCAGATCCGGAGCCGAGAGAGCCGAGAGAGCCGAGAGCCAGCTGGCAGCTGTATCGTTTTGTTGTTCAGGTTTTTTTCAAGGCCGACTTAGACCCTAAACCTATCCTAATTCCTAAACCTTAGCCCAGCTGCCGAGTTGGTGTTCGTGGTTTGAAGAGATCAACCAGTGGGACACTTAGCGGCCAGGAGAAGTCAACTGGACAGCTCCTCACACCGAGACCTGTGCGAACATGTCCACCGGGTGTCCTTGTGACGCTTGGAAATTGAAGCTGAAGATGTGGGACCCGCTGTGTTAGGTGCTGTTGTAGATGGAGTTAGCTTGTTTGTGGATCATGATGTAACAATCTATTACATGGGGGCAAGGAGCAAAGGAGCAAAGAGCACATGTATCCTGCAGGGCGTTGCTGTTTGTAGACAGATTTGCTCAGCGCGGCTTCAGCTGTGCAGGAGTTCAGTTGTCATGATGACATCCACCAATGGCCACTTCAGAGTGAAGAGCAGTGGTTACAATTCGACACCTGGTTGATCCTGCCAGTAGCCATATGCTTGTATGATAGAGCCATGCATGTCTCAGTAAGAGCACATACCCGGAGAAAGTGTGAATGCCTCATTAAGATTAAAGTGCTTAAAGTGCTTTTGATGGTTGCCACTACATGAATAACTGAGGTAATTTCTAAAGTTACTTTGTGTTTGAGGTCCCTGATGTCTCCATGATGTTCCGTGGTTTGCGACCGCCAAAGCGGCCCAGGTTTGTCACTGCTGGTCACGCTTCTATCCATGTTCAGTGTATTGTGAGGAGAAAACCAGACACACCAATCATTGATCCCTGAAACCACCTCAATGTAGGCACATATATGGCAGTCCCATTGGTCGTGTCTGGGTAAGTGTTTATTGTTCCTCACAAAATAGACAAATCTTCCCTCGGTTCCATGGAGCTGCCTCGAACACCCCCGGCACCGTTGCACGGCACCGCTCTGGGAAACGAGGTTTTGCGAAGAGAAGGCAACTCCTCCTCCTCTCCAATTCCGGTTGAAGTGATCGATACAACATCCGCTGCAACGTCCCCGGTACATCCGCTCTAAGCAGCCTCTCCAACCAACCACGTGGACCACCGCGTCGGATACTTCTTTCAGCATCCGCCACTCTCTCAGGATGACACTTGGGAAGTGAGATGTACCGATGCATGGGGCTATAGCTGGTGCAGCCCACAGATACAGTTGGATGGGGCTGGGGCTTCACACCAACCGGAGTGGTCCTAGACTTCCCTCGGTTTTTATCCATGTTTTTCGTTGTTTTTCGCCGCTTCCGACTTCCGAACGGTGGTTCTTGCTGAAGTCTTAAGCGTTCAATTTACACTCCGACTCACTAACATGGAAGTGGAGTTCACCCCCTGTTCGTAAAGGAAAGTAGTCTTCCAAGGGACCATGCCATCCACTTCCATGTTAGTGAGTCAGAGTGTACTCAAAGCGGGTTCAAATCACAAGACTTTAGGGATCGGGAGGTTTTGAGGCAAGTATTAGCGCTGTATGTGTGCATTTAATTGCAAGAGGGGGCCTTTGGATGGTGCCCGTGGCATTTGAGCCACGGCTAGTTGTGTAATCCAGTTTTCACAAAGCTCTCACAATGATACATACATATATAATATATATATATATTATGTACATATCCATATTTTGTTGCCTATATATATATATATATATACATATTTTGTTGCAGTGCAATCCACATTGGCTTAGAATAGGCGTCCCCCCCCTGGTAAAGGTAAGGGAACAGCTAGTGGTGGAAAAGGTTCTTGCACAACTAGTCCTTGCTCTCCAGTCCGTGCCCTCCACTGCAGTGGGTCACCCAGGTGCAATCCCAAGTCCTTCCCCTGCCCCATCACCTGCAGCAACACTGAGCAGGCACATGTTCACCTGGGGATCTGGGGAAGGGGAGAGAAACGATTGATTATATATATATATATCCCAGACACTCCATGTACGGCATATTTACATACATTGGGGTAGTTTTAGGGGTCAATGTAGGTAAATATGCCATACATGGAGTGTCTGGGTATAGGATGACCCTTAGATGATATCTGAGAAGTGCTCCTTCAAAGGAATTTCTTCATGAAACAACATGGATGCATCGGATTGAGTTCAGTGAACCTCCTACCTGGAACTTCCGGTGCTTAGTTATGGTACGTACCTGGAATGAGCACCGCCCAACCGCCTTCTGAGGCGTAGATTCTGGGGTTGACGGTCTGATTTGCAAGTTTTGCAAGTGTCAGTTTCAGATATTGTTTTTGCTTAACTATGAAGGAATAGGCTCGAAAGTACTCGACTGGTCATGTAATCATCGATAATCATTGTATACTTTGCAGGACAATCAATAGGATTAAACTGTCCAATCATCTACAGAACATCCCCTGAACAGTGATAGAATGCAGAACCTTTCATCGAATGATTTAGCATGAAGAATTCAAAAGTGGTGCGCCAAAGCCGGCCTTCGTGATCCAATTGAGTATGCTAGGGGTCCGAGCTGCTCTCATTCCACGGGAGTGGAAGCCATTCATGTTTACAGAGTATACCGTTTCATGCACGGCTTTCGCTGTGGTTGCAACCATGCCTGGACTCCTGCTGCAGGTCGCTCTGTGCAGTTTATACCATTCCCCCGTGGTGTTTGGCGATGCTCCAAAGTCCTGCAGCGGATCAAATCGATTGATTTGAATGTGTTTGTGCAGAATCTGCAGTATATAGTTGTTTTCCAGAAAAAGTTACTAGGTTGCATCTATTGAGAAAAGCTTCACTTTCCAAGCGTTTAGATCTATATTTTTTAGGAAAGCCAGCCGATAGGATAGGCTGAAATTAGTTTCTGTGAACGAATTGAGAATTAGGGGTCAGATTGCGGGGTCAGATTGCGACTTTTCCATACCGAAATCGTCAGATTGCTCTGTGGGTCTTGTGGATCTGAAACAATGACAGGGTATGTGCTCACATGTCTTCCCTTGGTCCGGATGATTTGTCCAATTCACCAACACCGTGAGGGGCAGTATTGTTTTTTCTGAAGGGGCTTATCTCAAAGTAAGAATCTGAAAGTTGAGTATACTTAGGCAGGTCCAAGCTTTGTACCCGACAGTTCTAAAGTTGCAGGTAGTAGCTACAAGCATGGATCAACATGGGACATCGTGATGTCAGCAAAAAGAGAGGTTTGCTACATGACGGAGTACAAGGATGATGGCGAGCCAGACTGGAGCGCTCCGGGCAACCAGTCCCTCGGCATTCCTCGGCCACCTTCTATTTGCCAACTCTCAAGGGCCGACTCTCAAGCGTCAGGGTGGGCCTGAGATTCTTTGACTCGTGTTCTATTATTTGACTGTCGCCCCTAGTAGCTTCTTGTTCCTAGTAAGGCCAGGAGCCCCGTTCGTAGCGTCCGATCGCTCCGTTCGTGGAGCCCCCGAACGTCGTAGCGAACCTCTTGTTCCTCGTGTTCGATCTGGCGGAGTGCTTGGGGATGGTCGATCCATTGATCACAGGGGTTTCGACCCCCAAGAGGGAAGATGATCGGCGATCAGTCAGTCGCCACGTTTTTCGACCGAGGACTTGCGTGGATATGTTCAGCCCCTGCCCATGCCATCCAGTTCACGAGGAGCCAGTCGAACCGACAAGAACCGGAGAGTTGTCCACTCGTCCATGCACGAGGCAACTGAACATGAACCTGGTCAGTTGCCTCGTGACATTTTTTTGCAGATCGGTTGCATTTAAATTGTTCAGTTTGGGCTGAAGTTAGCCATGCCTGCTCAAAAGCTGAGATGATTGGAAGTATGAACATGTTTGCTCCTCTTTGCTCACCAGTGGGACAAGCGGGGCCCAACTCCCCATGATTTTTGTGACTGAAGCCATTTTGGCTGTAATCCTGCTGCATGTCAAATTTAATCTCTGAAAGTTCCAAAGAGAGCTTTGGAACGTGGAGCTCGTCTAGTCCAATCGACAGCTTCCTGAAGCTTCAGCACCAATTACGGCCCGGTTGGTACTTTGTTGTCTTTGTAGTGAACGCCACAGCTACAGCTCTGCTGTTTCCTGTGGATGACCCTGATTACCACCACTACCAGGACCATTCTATCTCATTGCAAAGGAGTAGATGGTGCTTTTGTTTGCTGATGCTGGCAAGCCTTGGATGTGGTTGTGCGGCAGCCTTTTTGACAAAAAGGGCTGGAGCTTCAGCTCATGTGCGGTCGGCGAGTGGCCATAGCATCAGTCTCTGGTTTGAATCCATGTTGGCCTCGATGAGCTTGGCCCCTTGTGGATTCAGGTATGGATTCATACCAGTTGGCAACCACCACTCATGGCACATGGGCTTTGCATTGTGTAGGGGTCTTCTTTATTTGATTGGCTCATTCCTGCTGGAGAGGCTCATTGCTTCTCGAATGGATCTGTTAGAGCAGGTTTCGAATCAAAACTACTGCAGTGGCTGCGTTCGCAGGCTCCTTTGGGTGCAAGCCTGGGGCGCCGGTATGATGTCAGTGTTCTGTTTTGGAATGGGCATAGTCTATGTGGTTTGTGGCCGTATGTGGGACAAATTCTTGTGTGCTGCCCTGGCAATCGCAATGTTCACTTCACTGTGCGAGGTGGTGACAAGCTTGGTGGTGGCTGGCTCCCTGGCGAGGTCCTTCCTCCACTTGCGTCGGGTTTTGTACGAGGCGGAGCTTGAAGACGTGCCAGCAGCTGCAAAGTCCTTAAGACGAGCCCTAAGGTTTGCCGCTCTACAGGCGATTGGCGTCTCTTTCAGCCTCGTGCTCACGATTGTGGTAGTTCCCTTTGTTCTAGGTGAAAATTTGGGTGTTATTGTTGACGACGATGCAGTATATGCGATCAGCTTGCTTCAGGCTCTCGATTTGCTTGGGCATGCGCTCGCCGTACTGCTCCTATCAGGCAGCCACAGGTTGCCGAAGGTACACCAGACATCTTACCAAGCCGGTCGCCAGTTGCCCTGTTGGGCATGCCCCAGTCAGAACAGAGCAGTACCAGAAAAGGAAACAGCCTGGAGCCCCACCTGGAAGGCAAAAATTGAAGAGCTCTCATTGCGGGGCATGACTTTGCGCAGCCTTTTGCATTTTTATCAGGAACACCTCCCTTCCATGCCTGACTGGACATACACACCCAAAGATCACAAGACAAGGGATGTGGTCCGCAGGGTGATCATCCCTCTCACCAGCCAGGAGGAATTGGCCTTTGCAGTCTCAGCCTTGAACAGGGATGGTGCTCAAAGGGCTCAAGTCATGGTGACCCACAACTGGGGCAACAGTTTCAAACACATGCTGGCCGCTGTTGTCTCTGATGCTTTGCAGGAATGCAGTTTCAAAATGGCCGCGCAGCTGCTGGAGGAAGACTGTGCCTTTTTGTTTGGGATCTTGGCCAGGAGCGGTCGATTGGACGACACATATTGGATTTGCGCTTTTGCGGTGAACCAACATACCAGCATTTGCCACAACAATCCTTATGACCGGGACCCCTTGACAAATGAGCTACATCCAGTGTGTGCTTGCAGTTGCGTTAATATCTCTGATGCGGATGGCCAAAGCAGTTCCTCAGAGATTAACAAGTTTGATGACATGATGTACCACCACGCAACAACAGGAATTTGCAGGCAAGTGATTGCAGTGGACAAATCTTTTGAATTGTTTCGCCGTGCTTGGTGCGTGGCGGAAATTGCAGAAGCCAAACGGTTGGACATGACTCAGTCACTGAAGCTTCTGTCCAAGGCTACTATTCAGACCTTAGAGGTCTTGGATGTTCGCAGCATGAATGCTTCATCCGAAAAGGACAAGGAGCTCATACTGGGCAAGATTCAAAACATTGACGAGTTCAATGCACAGCTGCAAGCGCTAATTTTTGACCCCACATCGGGCCTTGTTGCATCCTGGAACACCATGGACAGTTTGCAGCAGGTGGGAGAAGTTGGCCGGCTCATCCGCTGGGGCCTCGCTGATGCGGGCACCGGTAAAGTGTGGAATGCATGGGATGCCGATGAGCCTTTTTGATCAACCAATCCCAGAAGATCCATGGTTTTTTTTGAATTCGGTGCATTTCGGTGCCAGCCGGAAAGTAATTAGGAGTTTGTCACACTGAGTGACACTTTTTGTGGATTTTACAGCCAGGTTGGCATATCCACATTATGTGTATGTGTTTCAACTTGGCAATCGAAATGTTAAAGATTGCCAAATTGTTGTAAGCGCTATTTGGCCAACACTTGATTATGCAGCAGAAACAGGACAGTTCAGGAGTTGTTCTTGCCGTCATGTGGTCCTTTTGAAAAATGATCTGCAAAACAAACCAGAGAGGTGTTCTTGTGTGAGACTGTATTGACTGTATGCTTGAGACTGCTTGATGCATTGCTTTTGCGTAGTTGGACAGGTTCAGGAGAAGCGTTCTGACTGCATGGTGCCTTGGAGCATGTTGAGCAAACATGTAGCGTGGAGATCACAATCAAAAGTTCAAACCATCGAGAGTATCCATGTTGATAAGCCGATAAGCCTTTACAATTTGCAAGCGAAGCACACCTGGTTTTGTGGGGGGGAAACCCTTAAATATGCAAAACGACAAGCAAGTGGAGACCATCACAGTCCGACCACCCTGAAGCCTGAAGTGCGCTGAGTGTGCTGAGTGTGCTGCCTGACAAGTAAGGGAATGAGAGAACAGCAACAAAACATGCAGGACCTGCAGGACCAACAACTCTATTTAAAGGAGCGGGAACACACCAGTGTAGTTTGCCGACAGCAACATCAACATGCACGACAAATAAAACAGCAACATACAGCACTCACACCATCAATTTCACCTTGCAATTGCAGCGAGAGAGAGAGAGAGAGAGACAATTCTGAGAACAGACGAGAACAATTGTCCAAACATTCGTGAGAAACCTGCGCGTGGAAAATAAACAACAGAAGAGTACAACCTAGTTCGTTCACGGGGATAGGCTACCTCGATGGCGCTCAAAAATATCTTGTTTTGTTTTCAATTGCACTTGCCATGAGAAGCATGTCAAAACTCAAACCCACTCAGCATCACTCGAAGCCACTCGAGCAGCTCTGATTGGGATAACACCCCAAAGGGGAGACCCCAAAGGCACCCTGTGAAATTTAAAAGGTTTCGACTTCAACAGCCAAACAATGTGCTTTCCATGGTTGTCAAGCTGATGTCCGGTTTCTTCAACAGTATTATAGAACCACATTCACTGTCATAGATTTGTTTGTGGAGTGCCGCAGGAGCTTTGCAACAGCACATGGGGCTCGTATTGCCAACCCACCTACAACGGGCAGACGTGTCCCATTTCGTGCAAGGAGAATGAGAGACTTGGCACAGTTGGGTTTTGCCATTTTTTCACAACCTCTTCCCAAGGGGTCTTACATGCTGAGAATGTAGCACCATGCATGCCCTGGAAACTAGTGGTTGCCCCTGGCCCAGTGAACAACCAAGTTCAGTCTCAAATCCATCGACCCCTCATGACCCCTCTATTCTTTAAGTCAGGCAATCATTGGGACGGACCTCCAATGAACATCGGAACAAAGGCCCGGGACCTCGGATCACCCTTTTTTTGAGGCTCCCTGTCGTCGTCCCAGTGCACCCCCACGTGGGCGCGGGTAAGTGACGATGAAAACTCTTGTTCTTGGGGGGGCCCATGTCGAAGACAGCCTAGGCTTCCAGCTGTGGTGTGTTTGGATTATTTGGAAAGCGACTCACACGGAGATTCACCGCCCACTGAAAAAGGTCAACACCCGACCCTACGGCATCGCATCATTTTTTTGCTGTCCTTTGTGGATTTCGTCACTGGACATCCAAAGACCCTCCCTGCTCCAGAAGTTCCAAATGGTTCCATTATCGCTGGTGGTTTTGTTGAATTGTCCCATCCAGTGCGGGACGGTTCTGGACACCCGCAGGTCCAACAGACAGGTTCCTCCAAGTGCCACTTTTCGACCTGTTCGACTTGGTCATACTTGGTCGACTCTTCGGATTGCCGCTGGAGACCGCTGTTGAGACAACTCTTCAAGTTTTCAGGAAGAAACGACACCAAACAAATTGATTCCTTTGGTCTCCCAGGATCTATTGCTACATCGTGCCCTATGACGACAACGGCGAGATCGATTGGACTGCCACATGGGAGGACCGAAATGTTTGGTTCGAAATCCGTCGCCTGCGGTGTTTTTTTCAGACCTGGGCCATGTCTTTCGATGCCGGCTACCTGGGGCTGTAGAGGGGGGCGGGATGCTTTTAGATTGATTTCATGATGTGTGTTTAAAAAACACATTTTTTGATGTTTTTGATTCAGATTGATCCTTTTTGAGATTGTTTCCTGGGGTGCCGGGTCCCACGTGACCCCACGTGTCATGTTTATTTCGGGTTGAGAATTCTCACCTCGAAAACGCGGGCGTTTCACGCGGTCCAACAGATCCTGAGAATCGGCCCACTGAAGACGTGCGACAACCCGTTGGGGGACAACCCCCTTATAAAGAGACCAAAACCAACACCATCTATATAATTAGACAGCTAGTTGTTGTTTTTTGTAGCGTAGCTTTTAGAGGTTGAGCAGTATGAGCAACTGAGTTTTCGGAGTTTTCTGGGACTCATCTTTCAACCAAACCATGACAAGCGATAGATGAGACACCAGTGACATCCTGGCTGGTCCGATCCAGTCCGCCTGGGCCAGGAAGCCTGTGCGGACGAAAGCGAGGGCTGCCCTTGCAACGAGAAGTGGGAGAAGTCTTGTGGCGAAGGCGCCGGGCTGCGAAGCGTGTACCGGAGCGTGTGAGGTTGCGAGTCAGTGAAGAGTCAATGAAGAGATGCGAAGGAAGAGATGAGGGTGGAGAGCTTGAACCAACTCGAGTTGTACTGAATAAGGTTCCTGACTGCAGTGTTTCTGGGTGGGCAAGTTGGTCCAAGTCCAATGGTGTGTCCAGCCGCGAGGTCGCCCTTTGAGGTTGAGGTTTCTGCATGGTGAATGGAAGGTAGAAAGGACCGGTAGCCAGTGCACCCTGCACAGGGTGATGCTGTCCAGCTTTGAATCTATAAAGTCCAAACGTATTTTGCTGAAGAATAAAACATGCTCGGTGTTCAGACCGCAGTCGACTCTGATCTCTAGCTGGACCGGGCAATCAACTATCGTGTATAACGGGCCGTTGAAGAGTGGACCCAGAACCAACAGTTTGGAACAAGGCCCTTTGCTGCTAGGTCCAGTAACAAGGCCCTTATAGGGCCTGTTACTAGGTAACCAAGCAACAGTAAAGGTCAAAACCGGTTCCCGTGACCAGGCCCTTTGGTGCTAAATGCCCGCTAGACGTGACTGGACCGTCTGCAAAGAAGCACGGTCATCAAGCAAAGTTGGTGGCATAGATCCCAAACCCAGACAATTCGAACCGATACGGCAGATTGCGGCCCAACCATTCAACTGGGACACGTCCACCTGTAATGCATCCATTTCTTCTGCAAAGGACCACATGGATCTTGAAAACCATGAGTACGGTAGATGAGAAGAGTCCTACAGGGGTGCATTTTCACGCTCCATGTTAGTCTGGAGGGAGGACAAACGCCTGACTGGGGGTCGCTACCCATAACACAGAAGTCTCCGAGGCTGGTGCATCCCGATCGACGAAAGCTGTCCCATCGATTGCGGTGAGTTTGCCACCTGTGCTTGGGCACAACATCGGCAGAGGGATGGAACAGGGATCAGTGGTTTCCTGCCATCGCATATTCCCAGACAACTCCGACTGGATGTTTTTTGCGACGAAAAAAAACACCCCGATTGTAGGTGATATTCCACACATGAAGCGATATCGAAGTCATGGAAGCAGGATGAAAAAGTGGACATGGGACAGCATGAAACCCACACAAGAAACCGAACGTTGAGCAATCCTTTTGAAGACCATGTGAGGCTTGCAGGGGGAATACTTTGGAGTACACCTGATGTGGTCATCCCTGGATCTTCAAACGAGACACCTTTTGCGGGAGGCATGTTTCAGATGCCGTGAAAAGTCGAACAGGATGCCGATGTTTGCGGGGTTGGAACATGAGTTGCAACACATGTCACTCCAAATCCATGGGACAGCCGGGCGGATCCAACCGCCGGCGTTGGGACGCCTCTCTTTACGCTTACTCTGTGTGAGGACTTTCTTGGGGGTTCTCACCTCGCCGTGTAGACTGGTTTTTTGCGCCTTGTCACCGCCAACAAAGCACGTCTTGTCAGGAAAAAGACACCAGAAAGTAACTAGCGCACATAGTGATTCCTGAAAGGACACCAATGGTAACGTGCCACTTCGAAGATGGCATGTGCCGCACATAGTCAGATGAAGCATATTTGAGACCATGATTTGTGTTAGTAGTAATGCACTTGTTGCTAAAGGCGATGCACTTGTTACTAGCTTCTTAAGTTACTAGTAGTAAGGCACCTGGTTACTGTGTGATCAGTCGGGACCGAGGAACAAGGCGCGCAAGCAATCAGGACCTCGGAACGGGGTGTCTGTTGGTACATGCATTTAAGGTTCCCGAAGCCGATCTGCAAGCATATTTGCATTTGCCATTTGCAATCCATCAACGATCCCTGTGACGCAGTTCTTCTTCCTCTTCTTCTTCCCCCCAAAACAGGTCGCGCTGGTCTTTTCACGGTGCCCCCCTCCGCAGCGCCCTCGACCGGTCAGGCTGGCACGAGTCCGGCAACCAAAGCTGCGCCACGGAAAGCGGCTGCAGCTGTGAAGCCAATGAGCACAGCTGCCTGGACTGCCGCGGGGTTTGCGGGTGTACGTACCTTTTTCGCGGTCACCGGGGTGCGAAGCTTTGATTTGGTTGGTGGATTTCGCGGTGTTTCACCGCCAACAGGACACGGAATGTGGCTCTCGGATTGACATGAGAGTTGAGACTTTTGTCAGAGGATATGATAGGAGGATATAGGAGGCACTTTGAGCCGTAAACGCTGCCCGGCATATTTGAGCATCAACGGCAATGAAATTCTCTGCAGCTCCGCCTATGGTTTTTTTGGGCACCTGTTGGCACCTAGGATTCAGGAAGCACCTAGTGGAGGATCTAGGAACCTTGGTTTTGGTTGCAGGTTGCAGATGATCCAACCACATGGCCCCACTCAACTCCTCGACCGACTATTTGCCGCGAGGTCACGATCGTATTCCGTAGGTAGGTTGTGGCCGGAACTAAGCGTCGATCTTCGCAGGATGGCTGGGGGCAATATCAGTGCTACCCAATGACTTGGTATCCAGATGGCTGCAGCTGGGCAGGATGAACCATTCTTTTTTTTGGGAGGACAAGCAGCAACCA